GGGGGGCTTGGTGGGCGGCATGTGGAACGCTGGGGTTCGATAGGGAAACAATTAAATTTCTGCCTTAAGATTTTGAATATGGTCTTGAATTATTTATCACAAATTTAGAGTAATAATATTTAATCAAATTAAAAATCTTCAGTGATGAATAGTAGCGTCAACTCCCAATTAATACTATGTATTATGTAGTTAAATTATTAACATACTTTTGAACAATTAAATTGCGTCTAACAGCAAGAAACGGGGGATTACGTAATGAAATTCCTCAGGAAAAAAAATTGCGTCTAGGAGCAAGAAATGGAGATTTGCGTAATCNATTACGTAATGAAATTCCTCAACAAAAAAAATTGCGTCTAGGAGCAAGAAATGGAGATTTGCGTAATCAAATTCCTCATATCTTAAGTACACATAGAGTTTGTTTAAAGAAAGGAAACTTATATATAGATTAATTAAGTATCCATTGTAAGTTGACTTGAAGGGAAAAGGGTTGACTATTACGAGAGGGGATCAAAGATTTGAAGCTTGTCGGTGCACTTTTGGATTCAACCAAAATCTGCTATGCGGTGTCCACTACTAATAGATTACTATTTTCTAAAAATATGCATATGTATATATGGAGTTTTTGCCAAACTTTACGGGTGTCGGTGACCCCTATTTATATAGCATAGGTCCGCCCCGACTATTATGAACGGTCCAATTGTAACCATATCTACATTTCAAGCGGCACAAATAAAATAACTGCCTCCAAAGTAACAACTAACAAACAATATATACTAAGCTATTGGAATCCCATTTTAAAGTATGGATTTTATCCAGCTTGAGTTGTTTGGAATTCCCCACACTAGTCCGTGTAAAAGGATATTATTAACACAAATCTCTCTTATTAAGGGAAAAGTAAATCAACATCATATGTAGAAAAGATACAGTTAATATTACATATAGGGGTACGGGAAGGAGAAATGGGGGAGGTGATTGCAAGTTGGGGATCAAACCCTCGCCAACGAGGAAAAAGTTCAGGTTACCAACCAACTAAGCTACTAAGATTCCGCATTTGTATGTCTTCTTTGCCCCCATTTATCCAAATGCTACAATATACTCCAAACTACAACCAAATGTGTTAAAGTCATTTACAGACCTTTATTCAAAAACTGAAAGGTCACCAATGCAAAGTAACTATAACATTGAGCACTACTTTACCTGAACGGCATCAAGTCAACTTAAATATTTAACTATTCCAGTGGCGTGCGACTGCTGCTAGCTGAATTCCTCAGCCAGGATATAACAAGGAAAAATAACACAATGCTACAATCAGCACATCTTTTTATATAGATCCATTTTTTCTCTTTCTAATATAATACGCTATCACAATCTGAAAAACTGAATATGACAAGAAATGGTATTTGTTTGTATTAGTTGCAGCTTAATTCATACGCGGTGACATCTCTATATAATCAGTTAAAACAGGGTCTCAAATGTGCAAATCCTTAAATTCATTTCCTTCAGTCAATCGGATTTTCCACCTTCCGAGCAGCTGTAAGGATCGCAGCTTACTGAATCTATCTGATAGTAGCTTACAAAGAAACTGATTGTAGCTATGAGGGTAAATTAACTTTCTACACAAACCATACTTACTCAAATTTCCTCAAAAAGAAACAAGCTTATTTGATAGCTTTCAACCATGTCAAAAGGTAATCAGATAAATGCCATATGGAGTAGACTGTCCCACGCCCTAGAAAACCACAAAAACACCTGCAAAGAGTTGGCCATCATCAATCATAGGCTAGTGAAGCAAATCCAGTACTATGATACAAAAGCAACTCACATGGCCATGTTTTATGTTATTTACCTGCTTATCATTTTCCTGTCAAACTCGAAACCCTCGCCAGTCCAATGTAAAAACTGGTGGAAACCTTTCTCCCTTTCCATTTTGGTCGCAGTTGCATTTGGTGCCAACTTCATATCCACCACAATTAAATGCATCCACATAAAGAATGCTCTAGACACGAACTGGATTGACCAGGGGCTGAGCATTCAACAAATGGCTCACCTTGAGCTAACAGCACAAAAAGAAGCAGAATTCATGGACCATCAAAGGAGCTGCAACCAAGTTGTCAATGTTGAACCATACTCCACGAGTTCAGACGCAGACTCCCTAGACCAGAAGGAGAGCTATGTGCATTTGCCCCATGTTAAAAGTCATGTTGCTTACCCATATACTGATACAGATGCGGAAAGTTCATCCAGTACGGTTGTGGATTTGCCTAGAACATACTCAACCCAGCAGCAGCAAAATGTGGATAGCATTACTGTCTTTCAACGGTATGCCAACGCTGGAATAACTGTTTCCTTCTTGCTAGCCTACACAGTTCTGGTATTGTACGAATGTCGCTCTTCTGTTTGTGATCGCAGTGCATAGTTGGACATACAAGTGAACCGGTAAAGCTCCTGTTTCCTGAGTTACTAGAAAATAAACAATTAGAACCACAAGGACTATTCTAACTACCATAGATCTAGAGCTTTTCTCTGTGTGTGTGTTTATATATGGTTTATTATTACATTAAACTCTTCCTGAAGTTAAACTTAACCGATGATAAAAGATAATAAGAGCATGCAATTAATGGAAGCTCTGTACATGCTAACAAAATATAACAAAGAGTATAATAATCAGGTTGAGAAATATGTACTCCCTCACTTTAGACGACACTTACTATTTAAAATCAAAAATAAATGGTTGAAACAGAGAAGTGCTACCAAGGTGTTATGTGATAGAATCATGCCTATCAAAAGTGAAAGTTAAATACCATAGAACACTTAGAAAACCATATGTCATATGGAAGTGAATGTTGGGCTATTAAACCCCGTGTAACACATCCACAAGATGAGCGTTACAAAGATGTGATTGCTTAGATGGATGTGTGGTCAATAAGATTAAATAAAATTAAAAATGACCACATCCACCATAAGGTGCAAGTAGTACGCATAGATGGCAAAATGAGAGGTTGGTTGAGATGGTTTTTTTCACCGGTTGAGATGGTTTGGTCAAGTCTTTTTTTAAACAACAAAATCATAGTGTCCGGGCTAGCTTCCACGCACCTCGACTAATGCCATGGGATACCTGGTATCTCACACCAGCAACAGGTACTAGGTAACTCTGTCCACTAAGACTTGAAGAGATGAGAAGAAATCACCTAACATTTTTGCCTCCGCTGGGATTTGAACCTGATACTTTATGGTTCTTAACCCACTTCATTGACCACTAGACCACACCCTTGCGTGCGATAGTTTGGTCAAGTCTTGCATCGACCTCCAAATGCAATGGCCCGTAGGTGTGAAACCACGGTGAGTGGAGGTGTTAAAAAGGGACGAGATAAACCTAAAATCTCATGGAAGGAAGTTGTCTCGAAAGATGTTCTCATGGAATCCAACTTAGCGTAAAATAGAGCACGATAGAAGAAAAAATATTATATAGGTGATACTACTTAGTTGGAAATATGTTTTAGTCATGTTAGCACGTTTCCTTTAGGTCATATACTTTCTAGGGTAATTTGTCCCCATCGGAGATTTATACGCCAATAGAACATATAGAAAATTTCTGGTCCTAATTTAGAGATTTCTTCTGCTGTATATACCTCTTTTTTTAAAGTTTTAGCCAGTTTGAGGAAATTTTGATAAATTTTGACCTCCACCAGTGCATTATTCATTTAATTTGTAATATAATATTTTTCATAAATAAAAAAATTAAACAATGATGTATGGATAAGACTTCAAGTTGCTTGTCGGCGTCCAGTCACAAATGACAAAAAGTTCACAGCAGATAGAGAATAGGGAACAAGTTAGAAGCAGAGTAGCAAAAGCAAAAAAGAAAAAGAAGTTTCATTCTAACTGTTAAGCAAGGCACGTGTATTTGCTTTCTTGGCCAATTGTTTCACCTATACCTTTTCTTAATTTATGACAGGAAGTTCACCGAGACTTTGACCTATGGGCTATGATACCCTAAGTTGCTCAGCCACGGGTGCGTGTGTCCGACACGGGTGCGAATCTAGAGGTCGGATTTTTCAAGATATAAATTTTAAGATTCGGGGATACGGATCCTAGTACGGATACGGGTGCGGGGATTCGGCTAAAAATAAAAATAAAAAAATAAAAATCTCTCTAATTTATGAGAAATTTTGTGGAATACTTACGTATAGCTTGTAAAGTGTGGATTATCTTTTTATTCTCAAGTTGTAGATGAGTAAAAGATTGATTTCCTTGATAAGATATGCTATTTTCTTGCCCCCAGGGCCTAGCTCATGTGGCAAAGGGGGGTGGATTTGTGTCTTAGGTCACACGTTCAAGCCCCCACACCATGCAAAGCAAAACCTGGTATTTAAGTGGAGAAGGGTAGAGGGGCGAGCCCATTATCCACCGAGTTTCGAAGGCTGCGGTTGGTCCAAAGGATCGGCCCCAGACGGATTTCTCGGTCATCAAAAAAAAAAAGATATGCTATTTTCTTCAAATGTACCCTAGTTTTAGTTCTGATTTCGGTAATCAAATTGTATCTCGTCTCGAATTATTCTGTCCGTCGTGTTCAAAGTACCCAAAATTGTTTGACCAGATCCGGTACGGATCCCATACCCACACCCATACTAGTGTCGTGTCGACACGGGTGCGGCACCTAAACTGCCATGTCGGAGCAACTTAGATGATACCTGTATTTGAGTTGGTGTTTGAGAATTGAGAGTACTAAAACTTCACAGCATTTTCACGATACGCTTTCCAGTAGTTCTGGAAGAACATACCTTTGGAAATGTTTGTCCAATGTCCCAATGTCAAGTTTCAATAGCATCTTATAAGTTATAACTGTGGAAAAGAAAAAAAAATGTTGAATTTGAAAAAGAGCCAATGATGCTTCTGTATACTAGAAAATAATCGCAAGAAGAGTGATGAGAGGACCTTCAGAGTCATCAAACGTGGATATTTTGTCTATTAATTAAGTTAGTGAGGCTAGATCTTAATGCCTAAAGTTTCTAGTACAGAAGTAGCTATAAGAACTCCAAATTTCAGCTTCAGTAAGGTACTCTGACACTACTTTATGCTGATAACAAGTGTTTTTAGGTGTTCATCAAGACCAACCTAAGACGCACCTTTTGCAACTAGTTTTTGTTCAACTACAGTGCTCTCCCTGTCACCCCTTGAACTTGGTTATCTTAACAACACCAAATGTTTTACTGATTATGATTCTGTTACTAAAAATTTCTCAAGCTCTATACACAAGTCAAGAACTATCATTTCTTATGCACTACGTTTGCATTCTCATAAACAGGATTAAAAAGAACCTACAAATAACAATATCAATCATTATAGTGTGGAAAGCTCATATAGTTATCTATAAACTGCAGATTTACAGAAAGGCAGGATCACCATATCAAAGTGTTTTACCGTGCCTATCATCTGAAGAGTTGTCAGGTGGATACACTATGGGCTATGGCTCAACACAAACAAATGCTTGCGTAGTTTCAAATTCCAAGTTTTGATATTTTATGTAAACTGGATCTAAAAGCTTGTACTTTAAAGTTTGGGATGCATTTCTTGAACAGTGAACATAGATTTGAAGAATGTGAATTATTTTTGGCTCCCATTCAGCAAGATGGTCAGTTTTTCAGGATCCAGGACCTTTGCAGATAGGTAACCAGAGATTAAATATGCTCGAACATGAAGTAAAAGTAGATCAATTGATAGAGATTGAATATGCTCGAACATACACTCAAAATAGAAATATATGATAGATAAGTGGAAGAGAGGTTATCAGATGCAGTGAATGACTTACCTGAGCAAAACATGATGATATCATCAGCATATGATAAGCGGTTAATCCTTTGTACAGTTGGCTGCATACTGAAGCCAATGACTCTTGGATTTTCCTATAGACTATTAAGCATCCTTGATAATACTTCAGCAGCTATGATGAATAAGGAAGGTAATATTGGATCTCCCTGCTTCACACCTCTTTGTGACTTACAAAAACCCATGTCTTCTACCATTTGATGATTGTAGTATACCACATATTTGACAATAAGTTCCAAATAATGTGGATCCACTGTACGTTCTGCAAAACCCATCCTTCTCAAGACTACAGAGGAAGTGCCAGGATAGCCTATCATATGCCTTATTCATAGACCATCAATTATGTGAATCCGGTAGTCGAACTACATTCGTCACAAGAAGAAGTGAACGTGCACCGCTTCCTGCAAAATGAACATGAGAACCGTGTGAAATTCAGCTAGTGAACAATTAGAAGATACTTGCAAAAATGAACAAGTCCTAATGAGGTAGAATGCAGTATCACATACTCTAAAGGGAAAAGACACATGTAAAGCTTCTTTTGTGGACTAGTTGAAGGAGAAAACATATTAATCGCTCATTGTGAACTGCATAGAAAAATGAGACATAATGAGTTTAACATAAAGTAAATCCATTATTATTAAATAATGCAAATTTGAATCCTTTAGACACGTTAAAACAGCTGCTATTTTCAGTGATTTTAATGTCTAACTAGAACAAGACCGGGGTAATAATGAACAGTCTGATATACTAGTAACTTGAGAATCACAATATGACACATACTACTTTCCTGTGCTATGTTTTAGGCTAAAATTACATTTAGCAGACCCCTTTTCTTAGATTTGATCGACGGTGTTCATTGTGGATGCACATATCTCCACAAAAGTTGCCAATCCATCTTTGTCTAACCTTGCACTTCAGAAGAACAACTAGCAAAAACAAGAAAACTGAGAATGTTGGAACCACGTTTTAATGCGCTATTAACTGCTTTAGGCAGAAGAAATGGAAACACTATTTTCACCCTGGAATAATAATAAAATTCCATGGTTTTCTATAACGGAAGTACCTTAAAACTATTTGAAGCAAAAATAACTTAATACTATTCGAAGATTTTAAATGAAAGCTAATTTATTTGTTTGCAGAAAATCTACGAGGCACAATCACTAGAACGGTGCAATCAATAGTGTTCAAAAATATATTCCTTTGACTATTCTATTCTAGTTCTCATATTTTCTTTAAAAACAAAAGGATGCTGTATGAGAAATATTTTTAATCAACAAAAATAGTGGTCGAATATTTGTTCCATGGCTCGCTAGGGCTTTAGCGTGCAAGGTTAAGAATATACTTCTTTTTATTATCGGAAGTACTCGGTTCTCACAAAAGAAATTGTATTGGGTCGACATCAATCGCCGGTGTTACTTGAAGGATTCTTATAACATTATCTCTAATAGCTCATTATCATACTATAAACAGGCCATCCTTTTATCACTCCCAGTTCTATATATCCCTAATTTTTATAGATCATGCATTAATCACTCTCATTTCTATATATCCTTTTTTGTGATTAAGATCTGCTCCTTGTACAGGAGCCCCGGCAAACGGTGAAGTTCTTTCATTTCCCAATCTCGCAAAGTTCTCTGAGCTTGGGTTTCTACATTATCCCCCTGCTCCGTCTATATTTGAGCACCCACTTTAGTTCTGTAGTAATTAGCACAAAATATTGAATATAGCTACGAAGGTGACATCTCCACACCATCTCTAAAAGCTAAATTTGGCATCGTTTCCCACTCTAAACTTGAATGTCTACAGAAATCATTCACATCTTTATGCTGCTTCTCCATAATACTACCCTATATGGCCCAGTGTTTTAAAAAGGTGAGGCGACAAGCCTTCGCTTTTTTGAAGCTGAGGCGACTCGACCAGCCGAAGTGATCGCTTCAGGTGTTGAAGCGAGAAGCGCAAAAGCGATCGCTTCAGTCAACATGGGCCAATTGTTTTTAAAAAAAAAGATTGATTCGTTTTTTATTATACAAAACATAGACCGCAAAGTCTTCTCTTCTTCCCTTCCATCGACCTGACTACTGCTTCTAGGGTTCCGTCCAACAGCCTCCGGTCCAGGTAATTTCTTCTTCTTTTTCTTTTCTTCTTTCTTCTTCTCCTTTTTTCTTCTCCTTTTCTTCTCTTTTCTTTCTTCTTCTTCCTGTTCGTCTGCTCACTGCTAGGGCAGGCATGTTTTTTTCTTTTTTTTTTCTTTTATTCTTCTTATTTAGCCTTTATTTATTAATTTTATGAGTATTTCAGTTAATAAAGTTAATTTTATATATATATATATATATATATATATATTACATTATGTTTTTTAAGAATTGCGCTTCACTTCAATAAAGCGTGTGATTCGCTTCGCAATTCGCTTTTGAAGCGAGACGAGCCCCTATCGCTTTTTTTGCGCTTCTCGCTCTCAAAAACACTATTATGGCCGAGAAATTTGGTTGTCCTCCATTTCCTTTGTTTCATAATTGTCAGCAATGACCGATCTCAACAAAACAGTCCTACCTACTAAATCTATAAATCCTTTTGCTATTTGCCAATAAGGTTTTATTAAAAACCTTCAGACCTGTGAACCCCGACACCCATCTACATAACGATCTTCTACTTCTAGTTTAAAATGTATTTCTTCACCTCCTCTCTCGTATTCCATAAGAAGTTGTTTTACATTCTCTCTAGTATCTTCTCCTCCCACATTACAGGGTATCATAGTTATAAATAGGTTGCAAGATATTGTACTCGAGATCCGTATCGTTTCTCCCTTTTCAATAAACATTTCTTTTGCCATACATTTACCCTCTTCAACTCTTTCAGTTACGTGATTCAACACTATATGATTTTTCTGGGTTTGCACCCAATGAAAATCCTAACTAAGTTGCATGAAGCGATTCAACCTTTAAATAGGGCTTCAGATATATACTTCATGTTGTCAAACTTGTCCACCATCAGTAGAATATTCTTACTTCTTTAAATTTAACTTTAAACCAGAGACTATCTGAAATCATATCAATACATCCTTCAAGCATTGAATTTGATCTACTTCAGTTTCACATAGGACTAGTGTACAATCAATAATTAACTAGTGGGACACTTGTACACTATCTTATGTCCATTCCGTATGTTTAAAACCCCTCAAATATTGTCTATCATTCTCCATCTATCATTTTACGATATGCTTCCATCACTGAAATGAACATTGAGAATCACAGATATCCTTTTCATAGCCTCTTAAACTCACAAAGAAACCTATAGGATCCCGCTGACCCTAAAAATCTCAATGCACCTTTTGTTACACTTGTTCGTAAAAGGATTGAGCATCTTACATAAAGGACTTTAGACCAATAAATCTAGATGAAATCATCTATCATATACAGTTAAGATGCTCTCGTAAAGATCTTAGAAGGTTTTAGATGCCAGAGTGTTGGCATCCCTGAAGGCTTTTGTGAAAGGATGGCAAACATTATTTGCAATTTATAGCTTTACCGGCGAATGAGCTAGTGAATTGTAGAGGCTGGTCAAATGTTGCAAACTAGATTTATTAAGACTCGTGATCATGCACGGTAACTGGTTTTTTCTTGGATTTGTAATGAAACAAATTACAAATTTTCAGGTGATGTGAAATGCTCCCACCCCGTTTTTCGTATTCCACTTGATTGTGTCCCAACATTGAAGAGAGAAACCCATTGTAAGACATCAGGACCCTGGGCTTTATCTTCTAGTTTCTTATGACATCCCATACCTCCTATTCCAAAAGCTCCATTTATACCAACCTACGGCTATACTCTCTCTTTATACAATTATATATAAAATCACCCAATTGCCTCTCCGCAACAAGCTAACACAAACAAGACTATTATAAACTTCTACAAAATAAGCGCATATGCAGACAATTCTTCCCTTACATCCTGGCAACTCATTTAAAGAATGCAAACGATACACTATGCTACATCCCTTTCTATTGGTCCACAATAGTGTTTGCACTTTGCAGACAATCCCTGCACTGTTTTCTTCTCCATCGCTATTGTTGCAGGCCCAACATAATCAAGAGAGATTGTACTTTTGGATGAGGTGGTTAAACATTTACCAGAGCGTGCAGACGTCATTGGTTCAGGTCTCACCGCCGCCCATTACCAAAAAGAATATCTATATGATTGGCTCAAAAAGAGAGTTAGATATGAACATGAAGCGACGTGTTGCAATATGATGTGTCTAACCATTTACGTGTTTAGATGAGGTGGTTACACAATAGAACAGTTATATTTTCCTCTACATTGTTAAGAGACCGGAGGCTGAGTGGGTCAAAGGATTCTCAAGAAACACAACTTTGACTGCACTTGTCCCAGCATCACTAACAGGTAAAAAAGATGGTTTTTCCAACTCCAAAGTTGTTAAGACTAGATTAGAAACTCAAAACCAGTATCAGTTCATGCTAAAATGGTGCTTCAGAACCATGCCTACTAATAAAGTCTTTTGCTCTACATGATTGCATGCTATAACATGAGTCAATCTGAGAAAGGCAATGATCTGCCTAAAACAGAAGAGCAACTCAAAGGCTCATGATTCCATCAAAGAAGGGACAAATACCTGAAGCTTTCAAATGACATAGCAGTTCTTTCATTTATTCTAGTAGTTCTGATTTATGATGCTATGACTACTTGTATCCTTGATATAAAAGATGCCCATTTGCTTTTCCTACTCTCTAACATCATACACTATTATACTTATCGTTTCAGTTGAACCCAGAGAGAGA